GTTCGGTAGATGTCTGTTAAGTCTAGTTGATCTGCTGTTTAGATCTGCGGTTTCTCTGTTGAGTTTTTGCCGAGTTGATCTATCTAGTGGGGAGAGTGGTGTGTTAAAATCCCCAACAATTAATGTCTTTGGATCTATATGGGATTTGAGGGAAAGTAGTGTTTCTTTGATAAATTTGGGTGCTCCATTGTTTGGCGAATAGATATTTAGAATCGTAATATCCTCCTGAAGGAGAGATCCTTTAATTAGTATGTAGCGACCTTCTTTATCTCTTCTCACAAATTTTAATTTGAAGTCTATTTTATCTGATATTAGGATTGCAACTCCCACCTGTTTATGGGGGCCGTTTGCTTGGTAGATTTTGTTCCAGCCTTTAACATTGAAAATGTGTTTGTTTTTATGGGCAAGATGTGACTCCTGCAGGCAGCAGATAGAAGGGTCTTGTTTTTTAATCCAACTAGACAGTCTATGTCACTTAATTGGAGAGTTCAGTCTGTTAACGTTAAGAGATAGGACTGAGAGGTATTTGGGAGTTGCTGCCATGTTATCCACCTTCTTGGGGGCTGCGAAAACTGGGTTCTTCCTATGGTTCTTGGATTCTCAGTTTGGGTGCAGTTTCTTGGCCTTTATTGCGGTCTTGTTGGTTTTCTATGTGTAGGACATCTTTAAGAATCTTTTGTAGGGCTGGTTTGGTGGAGATGTATTGTTTCAATTTTTCTTTGCTATGGAAGGTTTTTATTTGGCCTTCAGTTATGAAAGAGAGTTTAGCTGGGTACAGTATTCTTGGTTGATAGTTGTTTGTTTTTAGGGCGTGGCATACATCATTCCAGGCTCTTCTTGCTTTGATTGTCTCTGCTGAGAAATCTGAGGTGATTCTAATTGGTTTCCCTTTATAGGTGATTAACCTTTTCTCCTTGACAGCTTTAAGGATCTTTTCCTTGGTCTGAGTTGATCCTGTGTGGATTATAATGTGACGTTGGGATGTCCTATTCTGGTCTGGTCTATTTGGGGTTCTAAAAGCTTCTTGTATCTGAATAGGCCTATCTTTTTGTATGTTTGGGAAGTTCTCTGCTAGGATCCTGTTAAACAAATTTCCTAGACCATTAACTTCTGTTTCTAGGTGCTCCTCTACACCCATTATCCTTAGATTAGGCCTTCTGATGGTGTCTTCCAGGTGTTGGATAGATCTATCATATTTCTTGGACTTGTCTTGGATGGTTGTATGTTCTTTCTCTATAATATCTAGGCTGTCTTCAATCCCTGAGATTCGATCTTCTGCATGGTCTAACCTCCGGTCAAGACTCTCTACTTAGTTTTTTATCTCTTTTCCTTCCATTTGGTCGGCTTTGATGGCTTCAAATTCTTTGTTGAAGCTCTGTTTTAGGTCTTGTATGAATTTCTTTACTTCCTTAATTTGATGTTCAGTGTTTGTTCTGAAATCACTTAGTTGATTGGTTATGGTTTCTTTGGACTCCCATTCCTTCTGTTGGGTTCCATTCAGCATTCCCTTTGTGGTCTCCCTGACTTCCCTCAGGTCTTTGTTAATGGATTCCATGAATGCCTTTAGTGATCTTTGTGTATTCTCTACCTGCTCTCTCAATTCCTGTATTACTCTTTGATTAGCTTCCTCTCGTTCATGGGATTCCTGCAGTTCTCTTTGAGTATTCTCGAGTTGCTCACGCAAGTCCTGTATCAGTTTTTGAGTAGCTTCCTCACGCTTATGATATTCCTGTATACACTTTTGGGATGCCTCCTCTCTCTCCCTATCACACTCATACAGAGTCCTTTGTAAGTTGTCAAACTTTTCATTTATCATGTTTGCCAGCAGTGTTTGTAGAGCTATTTGGGAACTCTCCTCTGGATTATTCATTATCTGTTCTGTCCCCTGATTATCAAGATTGGGAGTTGAGATACCTGGATTTGCCATTTTTCTTGTGTTTTTCCGGCTTACTCTGCCCATTTGAGATGAAAATAGCACCAGTTTTGTGCTAGAACACTATCTTAAGGCAACCATCAACCAAAGTTTGCATTTGTACAGTCAATAGTCTACAGATACAATCTAGTTCAACAGATACATCTATTCAACATCAAACAACTATATGTTAATGGGCTTCGAACCACAGAGAAGAATTTGGAAAACCAGAAATTATTAGGGTTAGGGAGAGATGTGGGTAAAAAATAGGAATAGATTGGTGTGGGGGGCACAGGGAGAGTTAACTATGTCCTAATCCCAATGCAGGAAATAGGTTGGGTAGGATGCAAGTAGAGAGAGAGAGAGAGAGAAAGAAGAAAGGGAAAGGGAAATGAAAAGCGACCAGAAAAAATAAAAACGTAAAAATCAATATTATTATGGAGATTAAAAGATTGTCTTTTACAATCTATTTAGAGAGGAATGTGAATATATTGAGAGAAGGGGAAGGACATAGAGGAGATGTGAAAAATTTAAAAAAATGCTTAAAATATTATATAGGTATAAAGAGGTAGTACTGCTAGTAAGGAATTTAAGTCTCAGAGGTTTTGAATTGAGTAATAGATTTGTGGATTAAGTGTGTACACCATGGGGGATAGGGTCTACTAGTTAACTATGGGTTTATCTGAGGATGTGCAGGACAAGAGTTAAGTCACATAAAGAAGAACAAAAGAAAGGAGAAGGTGAAAAGGATAAGAAAGGGAGAAAAAAAGATCAGAAGTTCAGTAGAGCTAAACAAAAAACCAAAAGATAATTAAAAGAGAAAGAAGACAAGAAAAGAAAGGAAAACGCACATTCATGTATTCCTAAAATAAAAATTATAAGAGGAAAAAAAAAGATACTGGAAAACAATTTTTTTTTCAAAAAAGGCAAAAATTAAAGATTAATAAAAGTTTTAGAAAAGAAAAAAAAATTTTTTTATATATATAAGGTACCAAAAAAACAAAAAGAAGAAAAAAAGTTCTTTGATTTTTTTTTTTTTGATTTTTTTTGGGAGGGGTGGGAAGAATCCTGTATCTCCCTTGTGTCTGTAACCAGCCTCTTGTTGGAGTCTCTGGTCTGCTTGAGGTCCTGTGGCTTGATTGGTTTCTTAAGTCAGTTTGTTCGAACAGGCAGAAAAATGCTCTGCTTTACCCAAGATTTTGAGATCCCCCTTCCAGGTTAGTTTACTGGGAGGGTGATCTGCTTTGAGAATCACAAAAGAGGGGTGATGAGGCTAGGTTCTGGTAGAGTTGAGGCCTTTCAACAAACAGTAGCTTTTCCCTGGGGCTATTTTGTGAAAAACTCACAGAGTCCAGCCTGGAGCCATTCTCAGGGTTTCTGTTTTTCAATTGATTGTGGAGGCTGCTAGAGGGAGGGGCAGCCTCTGGTTCTGGTTACCCAGTGGGAAAAGCCACTCCTATGGCTGGCGTCTGAGCTGGGTGACTTTTCCCTGGATGGAGCTGAGTCTGGTAGGTCACTTCACGGTTAAGTTCCTGTGACCTGCTAAATGACTCGTTTTATTCCAAGGCCTGAGTTGGATTTAGCAGCTCCTCTGAGCTTTGTCGGTATCCAAGATGGAGATCACCGGTGCTGGGGGGGGGGGGGAGTGGTGGCCTTCCCTCCTCTGCTCCCTGAGAAGGAGTGAGGACGTCGGGCTTCTACTCACGCCGAGTCTTGGTTCCTGGGTCGTTTCTGGTCTGCAGACTGCAGGATGAAGATGTCCGCTCCTTGTCGGTTCTTGCTGGTGTTGAGTAGAATCCGCTCGCCCGCTGCATCTGGCTCCTTCGTCCCAGACTCACTGTGACTCAGGTTTGGGTGCCCTGCCTGGCACTGCCGCCATGGCGGCTCCTGGCAAGCGCTCAGATGAGTCTCCTTGCCTTGGCTTCCCCTCTCTTTCCTAACTCTCTGTCCTGTGATGGCACACTTGGTGTGATTCTCTGGCTTAGGACTGTTCACTGGAACTCTAAAACTGCTTTCTATGCGAGAGCTTGTTCAGATTCCTGCTTCTCCTCCGCCATCTTCCCGGAACTCTTCGAGTCTCATTATTTTCATGGCAAATACTTTCACTTAGCGTAGCTGGAACAATAGATGAATGCCAGTATACCATGACTTTATAGTGAAATATTTGGCAGGGTTAAATTGTGATTTTTTTCAAATGATATTACAGAATTTATATTCATATGTTAGATTTATGTATCATAATAGGAAAGGTTGGCTGTTGCTACACAAGTCTGCTTACAATCAGCTGAGGTAGATAGCACAGGAAAAGACTGTTCAGATTCTGAGTGTGCTGGTAATTCTGATGTCAAAGTCAATATCAAAGAAACATAGGTCCCATGGTTATTTGCATTAACTAGTATATCTCTGGGACAAGCAGAAAAGACCAGATAAGATGATGTTAAGCGAATTGAACCCTAAGATAAGGACATAAGTGTTTTTTTTTTTCTTTTTTGCTATTGCTTGTAATGTATTTATAAGGTACCATGTGACGTTTTTGGTGCTTTGTATGTCCCTCCCCCACGGTATAACCCCTGTTTTCACTGTATTTGATGTTGGTATAATTTGGGGAAGGGAAGGGAAAAAACAAATTGCTTAAACAGGGATACAGGTTGACCCATTGCAACAATGAGATGTACAAGACGCTATGTTGAAAATGAACTTTACAATTTAGGTTGGGGAGGGGATTGAGGAAGAGGAGTGTAATTGTGGAGATGGGAAGGAAGGAATGGTAGGTGAAAAACAGAGGAGACAACAATGTTTGATTAAAAAATGGACTCATTACTTTGCTCATGTAACTGTAACCCCTCTGTACAGTATTCTCACAGTAAAAAACATTAAAAAAAATTAAGATAAATATACTCTCTACAGTATTCAGTATGCACTGAATTTAAAATTAATCTTAGTCCTGACTTGTGAAATTTTTACTGTTTCTCCAAAACATTCTGGTATTTAGGAATTATATATTATGGGCAATATGCAATCAATAAGTCAATTGGAAATATTTGTTTGAGGTGGTGAAAACTTATTATCACTCTTTTTTTGATAACAGCCTCAGCAGTTTGATCCTGTTTATAACTGTAGCCAATACATATGCCTTAACATGGAATGGACATTTTACAACTGGTCTCTGAACTGCCCCATGGACTTGCAAATGCCTGACTGTGGTTTTCGGGGGAGACCTGTTCAAGTCAACACTGATCTCTGCTGCCCTGAGTGGGAATGTCCTTGTAAGTCTGTGTCTTTTGTGATGGCCCATTTCTTTAATCAGCAAGAAGTGTTACTTTTTTAACTCATCACCTCATCTTACCTCATCATGCACAGATGTCTCTGAGTTTTCTTCACTTAAGATTATGATCCAGCATTTGTGAAATGTTGAGCTGCTTTGTGTCAGAGATGAGATTAACACTACTAGCCGTGAGAGCAGTTAGTACTAAACATACCAATGGTTGATAGTCTACCTCTGTTCTCTGTTGTTCTGTCTTAGGTCGCTGTTCCATGCTGTCAGAGCTGAGCATTATCACCTTTGATGGGAACAATGCTGCCTTGTACAGCATGGCTTCTTATATTTTAGTGAGAATCCCTGGGGAAAGTATAGTTGTTCACATTGAAAAGTGTTCCATGAACCAGGTAAGTCTTCACCACTCTGTATTCATTTATTCATAGACTGTAAGTGGGAGATCTGGTAACACTGGGAATTCTCAGTACTCACAAACTCACTGACATTGAAATAAAAATATGTCATATACATGTGCACACACATACACATATGTATTTCCAGATTATGTTTCTAAAACTCAAGATGCGCATTTCCTTTAAAAGTGCTTCTTTTTTTATACTTTATTTTTCAGAATGGGAACTCATTTAAAAAACTAGTAAGTATTTGTAAATTATGTAGTAAATGTATTCTTTTCAATCACTAAAATTATGTTTAACTCCATAAAACTTTAATACTTTTCAACTGAAGGTTTCTTCTGGGAGAATTTCTGGACTTTGTTTTAAGAAGTTAAATGTGACAACATCCGTACATAAAATTCTTGTCAACAGAGTGGCAAGGAAGGTAAGGGCACAAAACTAAAAGGTACATCATTAAATGAAAAAAATGAAAAAAGGGAATTACTTAAAATAACTTTTACTGAAGGGAGGGAAAATATTAGCAAACTTTCATTGCACTATGGCTAATAATTCTTCCAATGGGAGTTCTAAAACTTTTTCTTTGTTGTTTATTTATTTTTATATCTTTATTGTAAAGGTGATTAGGGGGTTACAGTTGTATAAATAAGGTAATGAGTACATTTCTTTTTCAACACTGTTACCCCCTCCACTTTCTCCAGCTTATTTCTCCCTATTCCCCACCCCCCCAAGTTGTATACTTTCTTTCCTTTTTGTGAACAGGGTGTCACTATTGGTTCAGGATGGCTTGGACCCACAATCTCAGCCTCCCTCTGGCTGGAATTATGGATGTATACCACTATACTCAGCTCAAAAATTTGTTTGTTAATATGTTATTTCTCCTCCATTTATGTGTCAACTCTTGAGACATCTTTCCTATGAGTTAACTTTGAGGTCTATGTGAAATTGGCTAACAACTACTTTGAGAATGCAAGTGGCCAAATGTTTTTATTCCACAGTGAATGTTTGTACTTCAAATCAGACAAAGTAAAAATGACCTGAAGAGGAAAAGAGTAGTAGCTAAAAATATTAGGATGAAATCCCTGAGAGGACAGGTGGAAGAACCTGTTGTATTTTGTTTTGTTTTGGTGGTACTGGTGTTTGAACTCAGAACTTCAACACTGGTTTGGCAGACATTAAAATGCTTGAGCCATGCCTCCATCACTCTTTGCTCTCATTATTTTTAGGATAAATTCTTGTTTTTGTTCTACCTGTCCTTGCCTACATCCTCCTGGCTTTCCATGTAGCTGAAATGCCAGGCACATGCCATTGAGCCCAGTTTTTCTGTTGAGCTGCATTCTCAAGAACTCCCCATACTCGACTGAATCAGTAAGATTAAAAACATGAGACACTAGCACTTGCCTAAAGACTGATTTTGAATTATGTTTACCATTAAGTTTTCAGTGAATAAGTAATAGCTAAAATAAAATTGAAGGCTCACTTACCTTTATTATTATACACTGAAGAAGACCAAGCTATTATTTTTAAAAGGTTTGATAGAGACCACTTAGTTTTACAAGAAAAGTCTTTATCCTAAGGAATGTATAGTTACCATATAGCAGTGAGTTATGAGCTGGATGCTTCACTCCAATCTAAATGGTTCTCTCTAAAGTATAAAAAGTAAAGATTTTGTTTACACTTACTGACATATATTCTTTCTAGAAGTAATTGCATCTGTCGGCAGAAGCCCGTTAAATGAGACAAAATATATTAACATGTTTAATGGGCTAAAACCTAAAGTACATGAATAATGCATTTTGTTGGATGACAGAATTTTAATATAGTTTGAATTTGATGAAATTGATATATTAATGAAAAGTAGATGGGAAGTAAACTCAGATTTCATCAGAGCCGTTTTTCTGAGCCTTTGGAAGGAAGGACTTATTTTTGGTCTCAAGTTAACGCATCACTGGTCATATATTTGACCAATAATCAATTATCTAGAAGGTATTTAATAAGTTTATGTGAAAATAAACCACACAATTCCTGATCTCAAGTAACTTGTAGATATATGGGTAAGAAATCAGGGAGGTAAAGTTGCAGAATTATGACCGAAATATGGAAACATAAACAAGGATCATTGATGACCTGATAAGAGGGTCAAATAAGTCTTTCTGAAAGAGATGACCCTTAAAGTAAATCTTACCTACTGAGTAGAAAGCAGGAAGATGTGGAGATGTTTCATCCCCAAGTAACTGTATGGCAAGATGAGAAATTGGATTGTTGGTGAGCTGGAACATCAGTAATTTTACTTCTACTCTTACACATGGAATTATATCATTGCCCCCTTCCCCTTTTTAAAAAAAGAGCATGATTCAAAATAGGGCCACCAGAATGGTTCTATGCTAAATATGTCTAGAATCCAAAAAGTAGGATCACTGGGAGCCTTAATCTTCACCAAGCTTGGCTGAACATTTTTAGGAACATTGTTACAGTTAAACAAGCACTGATGTAAAACATCAAAGTAAAAAAAAAACTCTCAGATCAAAGAAAACATCCTAAAAATGAATTTGTTATCTTAAATTCATAGTAGACAGTAATGGTGCAATCAAAATATATTGAAAAAAACTGACATAAAAGCATATACAACACAGAAGAAAGTTATATTTTAAGAAAAATGAAATGCAAAGGGGAAAGCACTGAATTTAGCATGTGGCAAAGGAAACAAAGATGCTTAAAATTATACAAATTGTATAGCAGCAGAGAAATTAAAAAAAACTATAACTGCTTTGTTAAATGGCACCTCCTTTGTACAACTACTTAAAGATGGTAAAAAAATATTTTTAAAAAGCCATAATATTGGAAATAAATAGGGTTTAAAAACCACCAAACATAACAGGAAGAACGTGTTTCTCAATTTGTAAAATCCAAATGCTACTTTCTGGAATAATAAATCAACTAAATATAAAAAATAAAATTTTATTGTAAATCCTAATATAGTTTTAAAAATGTTTTCTTAAAGTTTTTATTATTTTCTTTTTTCATTTTCTTTTGTATTTTGCTTATGTGGTACTGAGAAATCAAACCCAGGGCCTTATGCATGCTAGTCAAGAGCTCTGCCACTAACGCAGTTTTTTTTTTCCAGCCCTTTTTTTAAAAAAAAAAATCACATTTTTATAACGGGTGCATTTCTGTTATTATTCTAGGTAGAAGTGGATTCTATTGCTGTGCCCTTGCCCTTTGCAAGTCGAGAACTGTTCATAGAGGATTCTGGTACAATGTACGTGATCAATACACCAGCTGGGTTGGTTGTAAAGTGGGCTCACCTTACAGGGATTATAGACATTCACTTTGGCGTCCAGTTTAACTTCTCGTCTTATACCGAAGGACTTTGTGGTGAGTATTGATCTTCAAACCTATACTTCTAACATTTTGTCTTGTTTTCACTACATTGTTTTTTACTTTCCTGGCCCAGACTTGAAATGAGTACACACACTCCTTCAGGTAAATATTGAAGGCAATAAAGAACGAGGCTCAATGAGAGTTCAATTGGGACATTTTATGGAAATCTATACCTACTGTTGTGTACCTACTTTACATTTCTACTTGTTTGTCTTTTTAAAACATTAATAAAGTTTCAGCATTCATTTTATTTTAATGTGATAAAAATAAGGCACAGAAAGAGAAGACTAAATACCTTTGTTTCTTAAGGTGAGGGAAAACTTAAGTAATCTTGAGAGAATCACAGTGTTATGAACATTTTCCTAGTTTTATTATGTAGTTTTATATTTCTGTTAAATATAGTGTGGAAAAATTCATTAGCTAAGGAAAACACTTAGAAATATCTATAGCTATGTAACAAAGTTTTGAAGCAATTGAATCTGTGTCCTTTGGGAAGTTGAACATATATTCAAATTTCTATGTCTTTCCCAGCTTTTTGCTCCTAAGGAACTATTAGTTTTTTTTCAAAGCGAGGGAGGCAGTAATACCTCATTTCCAGATCATTAACATAATTTTTGTAGGTATCAAAATACCACCTTCTACTCTACAAATATATGCAATTATTGTGTGTCAATTAAAAATTTAAGATCATTGGGTTGGGAAGGTGGCTCAGTGGTAGAGCACTTGCCTTGCATGCATGAGGCCCTGGGTTCGATTCCCCAGCACCACATAAGCAAAAAAATAAATAAATTTTATAAAAATTTAAGATCATTGTCAGAAATAGATATGTTAACATAAAAACATATTACCTAATAAATACAATCAATAAATGCTTAGTACAAATATGTATACTTGAACCTTACTAAATACTAATTGAATAAAATTTATAGATTACCTTCTGAATGTGTTGATCTATACTCGATACTGAAACTCAAAAGGGAATAAGATTAAATCCTTGTCCTCAGTAAATTATATGAATTACCCAAGTTTTTAAAAGCACAAACATTTAAAAGCATGAACATAAAGATTCTGATCAAAGGAATGCCTTTGATCAGAGTATGCTAAAAATAGCATAACATTCTGTAGTGACTTAAGGTTATGACTGTGGAAATCTTTATAATTAAATATGTATTATCTAGAATGTATAATTCACTAGTTATTGAGTAATAATGCAGACTTTTTTTTTTTTTTTGGTCGGCCGTGGGGCTTGAACTCTGGGCCTGGGCGCTGTCCCTCAGCTCTTCAGCTCAAGGCGAGCGCTCTACCACTTGAGCTACAGCGCCACTTCCGGTTTTCTGGTGGTTTATTGGAGATAGGAGTCTCACGGTCTCTCCTGCCCGGGCTGGCTTTGAACCGCGATCCTCAGATCTCAGCCTCCTGAGTAGCTAGGATTACAGGCGTGAGCCACCAGCGCCCGGCATAATGCAGACTTTTTAATGCATTTTCCTATATCACTTCTGTGTAGCATGATTTCTGTTACGTTTTCTTCTCTGCTCTTACTTAGCACTTTTAAGGAGATCGACAATCTTCTAACTGCTTTTTAGCTCAGCACTTTAGAGAAGGGGCTAGGAATATTGGTTTTCCTAGCCATGTGTCACTGCCAAAACTCTGTAACCACCATAAGGGCAGAAGTGTGGTTCATTGAGAGGACATCTGATGCTATGAGGACTATGCTAGTTGCTGACTGAAGAAGCCATACTTAGCAAGAGCATGACCCAAACTGTACATGGACACACACACACGCACATCCACACCGAATGGGAAGCCATGTTGTCATGTCGTTTAACACAGCATCATGAAGTCTGTTGGGCTGGTGGAAGCAGTTGCAGGGTAAACATACTTTTGCCAGCAGTGAGAATTTAGACATAAAAATAAGCTTTGTGACTCTAATGAGTCGATTTAAGGAAGTGTACTGACAGTGTTCAAGTAAGCTATGATTGGGGCCCTGGATCCTTCCTTTGTACTGACCTTGGCTGTGCCCTCCAATAAAGAATCAGTAATGTGAAGGGTAAAAAAAGGAGGAGGCTGCAATGCTTGATAAGAAATGTGCACATTATCCTGCCCATGTAATCATAACCCCTCTGTACAGTATGTTCACAAAAAAAAATAAAATAAAATTTAATTAAAAAAAAAAAGAATCAGTAAGTGCCTCCTTGATCTGGCCTTCCTTAAGAAAGCTAGAAGATGTGGTAGAGAAAAGCACCATAGCCATTAACAGACCATGTTACCACAACAAAGGGACAGGTCTCAGGTCCAAGAATTCCCAATTCAGGCCCTGAACTTGACAAGGATTGTTCTAATATTGAGTGAATCCAAATGTCTGAGTGACTGTTATGAGACTGATTTGTGCCTGGCTTATCTGTATCAAGTGCAAATTACAAGGAATGAAGATTATCCTTGTGCCAATCAATGCTCTTATCTGGACTGGGGTCATGCTATTGGCAGTGGGAGAGGAATAAGTCCAGAAAGGGAAAGTTTGATGTTTTCAGGAAAAGTTTTGCTGGGAGAAAGGAAGACTGGGAATCAAAGAATAAGCTTCCATTGGTCTTGGAAATGCCTGACCAGGTGTAAAGGTCTGTTCTTTTTTTTTTTTTTTGTCGGCCGTGGGGCTTGAACTCTGGGCCTGGGCGCTGTCCCTCAGCTCTTCAGCTCAAAGCGAGCGCTCTACCACTTGAGCTACAGCGCCACACCACTTGAGCTACAGCGCCACTTTCGGTTTTCTGGTGGTTTATTGGAGATAGGAGTCTCACGGTCTTTCCTGCCCGGGCTGGCTTTGAACCGCGATCCTCAGATCTCAGCCTCCTGAGTAGCTAGGATTACAGGCGTGAGCCACCAGCACCCGGCTAAAGGTCTGTTCTTAAGCTTGGGGCAGATCATATAATTTAAGCTTGTGGCAGATCATATGATAAGAGAAGTGTGTAGGATCAAATAAATCTCACCTTAATTTTATATATCTCTTTATCATATCTTAATTTTTAGATCCATGATTTCTTTCTTAACTCATTGAAGCAGTTTTATATTAATATATCACAGAATCAGAAACATAATGTTCAACCCTTTATCATGGCTAAAGTTAAAGTATGCAAAACTGACTCATCATTCAGTAAATAACTCAGTTCAGATCAAATATTAAACTGGGTTAGTTGTGCTACTTATATTTGATTTAAGCTATTTTTTGTCTAATGTCATATGTTCTGTACAGGAATTTGCAATGATAATCCAGATGATGATCTCAAGATGCAAAATGGCACAATTATCACAAATATGGAAGATATAGAATTGTTTATCCAGAGCTGGGAAATTGAGAAGTCATTTGAAGTAACAATGAGAAGACCTGTTAGGAACTGTACTGAGCATGACTGTAGTCATTGCATTGCATTGTTAAATAGAGACATTTTCTTTTCATGTCATGATAAAGTAAGTCAAGAGCAACCACAAATAAGAACTATTGCATTAGACATGTTGAGAGAAAATGCCACTAATTTCCTATTCTTGCTGTGATACTTTTTTTTTTTTTTATCGAGAATAGTGTATCTCCAAACCTGTCATTGTATTTTGGAATTTAAGGTTACTTACTGCTTATAGATTTATAGAGATAAAAGACACAAATATCTTTTTTCTTCCTTGTATGATTTGTTTACACTCTGCATATTGAATTTGTGTTAATTTTCATCACTAAATTGACATTTTGATTTTAAACACTGTGTGAGAACACAAGATCTTCATTCAAATGGCTAGGTGTGAGTTCCTATTAGCAGAACTTTATTTTGGGGCACCAGTATTTGGACTCCAGATATTTATGTATTTTTTGCATTTTATGTAACTGTAACTCCATTGTATATCACCTTTATTTTTTTTATTGTGAAAATACCGTACAGAGGAGTTACAATTACATGGGCAAGATAACGAGTACATTTCTTATCAAGCATTGTTGCCTCCTCTTTGTTTCCCCTTCCTATCCCTTCCCATACTTCTTCCACCTTCCTCTACCCGATCCTCTCCCCTCACCAAAGTAGTAACTAGTATATGTCCGAGTCAAGCAGAAAAGGTCAGATAAGTTGATGTTAGGGGAATGAACCCTAAGATAAGTATTCAAATGTTTTTTCTCTTTCTTGCAATTGTTTCTAACATATTTATAAGATGATTTCTATGTTGTTTTGTATGTCCCTCCCCCACGGTATAACCCCTGCTTTCACTGTATTTGATGTTGGTATAATTTGTGGATAGGAAGGGAAAAAACAAATCGTTTAACTAGGGATACAGGTGGACCCATTGCAACAAGGAGATGCACAAGTTGTTATGTCCTTGTATGTTTTGTTAAAGCTCTATTGCTTTCAAAAAATAAAATTATTTCCTATGAACAAATGGCTCAGGAGAAAGAGATAAGTCATTTTTGATAATTAAGTATGTAAAGCTTTATTAATTTTTTATGATCCTAGCCTTTAGGGTTGTACTTCTCTAAGTAACTGCAACATATTCAATTTAACTGATATTTATTACTCCTTAGCTTTCTAAGTTCAAGTGATTGATACATGTCTTAAATAATTGGTCACTAATAGTGATTCATTGTTAGAGACAAAGGACAAATAGATTTTCAAGAATCATTTGACTAAATTATAGTAAGCACTGAGTGTTACATTGTGTTACAAGAATAAGATTTTCCTCTGTCCTTAACTTATTTAGAAAAAGGCTGTGAGCAGATATCCTACAATAAACACTATGGAGGTGCCTCAGACCTCAGCTTTGTAACAGAAATTGAGAAATCTCATAAAGCTTTAGACCCTTGAACTGTTTAGAAGGACAAATTTGTCAGGAGAGAAGGAGAGGAAGGAAGATATACACAGAGAAAGTAATACCATGCAAAAGTATATTTGGTATGGAAAGCCAGGCAAAGGTAAGATTGAAGTAATCTGGTGTGACATGTATAGAAAGAGTAGCAAGGAGAATAGGATGTTCTCTTGGTGTTTCCTAGTAAATTTGATAGTGAAAGGACAGAAAGAAGAAATTCATATATTCATAAGGAATTGGACACTAGCAAAAATGGCTAATATTTAATATCTAAAAATATACTATAGCTTGATGCCTTTGGCACATGCTTATAATACTAGCTATGCAGGAGGCTGAGATCTGAGAGGATCATAGTTCAAAGACAGCTCAAACAGGAAAATTTATGAGACTCTTATCTCAAGTTAACCACCAAAAAGCCTGAAGTGGAGCTGTGGCATAAGTGGTAGAGCACTAGCTTTGAATAAAAAAGCTCAGGGACAACACCCAAGCCCTGAGTTCAAGCTCCAGAACCATACCCTCCTCCCCAAGACATAGACTTGCACACACACACAATCTAATAATATAATCTAGTAATATGATCTGGTACCTAAGTAACAATCGTTTGACTAGGGAAGACACTGGCCATGTTTTTATAGTCAAGGTGGAAAATATAACTTTTCATGTAGAAAACAAATAACAGGAATGTTTAAGAAGGTGAACTGAAAGGCATCTAGACATCCCATAAAACTAGGTTAAAGCCTCTTCCAGAGAGCTGTATTACAACCTTTGACTCCATGCCTTCAACTACAACAACAAAAGATGGCTGTTAGGTACCAGGTGCAGGGGCTCAAGCTTATCATCCTAGCTAAGGAGGTAGAAATTGAGGGATCAGGGTATGATACCTACCTGGGCAATAAGAAATTTACAAGATTCCATCTCAGTGGTTAGGCATGGTGGAACATGCCTTTTAATTGGCACAGCTATACATGCCTGCCATTCCAAGCAATACAGGAAGCACATGTAGGAAGATCGTATCGTAGGCCCTCTCAGTCATAAAGTAAGATTCTACTTCCAAAATAGGTAGCACAAAAAAGGAACTGGTAGTAGAGCTCCTATCTAACAAGGGTCAGGCCCAAAATTCAATCACTAGTACTTTGCCCCCTCCCTAAAGGCTGTCAGAAGATGACCACCAGTCATAATAGTGGCCACCTTCTTGCTGAGGGTAATGACTCAATCATAGAGGTGCTGGAAGCTATGGGATTAATTTCCAAGTCAAGATGGGGATAGCACGTCACAGAAAAGTTTGCACAGTCCTACACACACACACACAAAGTGAGGAAGACAGGAAGAAGCCATATAAGCCGACTGCTAGTCCTCCCTGTAGGCAGGTGCAGACCCAGGCTCCTTGATAAGCAGGTGGATTCAGAGGAGAAAAACTCAAAATGTAGATACTTAATACATGTTTATGGGATGAATGAGTGGAGAGAGAAATTGTAATGAATGAATATTATGTTATAAATTAAATGATTCAGATTTATATCACCTCTAGATGGTCTAATGGTCTAAAAGGACTATAGTGAATAAAAGAAAAGTGGACAAGATATATTGTATCCATAAAGTACTTTGTTAAATGGAAACTCCTTTGTACAACTATTGAAAGATAATAAGAAAAAAGAAAAGTGATTTCTAATTAAAGCAAAACCTATAAATTTGTAAAAATTATATGTCTCACATGCAATACTACTGTGAAGTTTCTTGAAAAGCATTTTTGACCTGAGTTAATGAGTGATGCTCTACACCATATGGAAGGTTTTAATAGCTTACAACTTTATGTATAATAATTTATCTTATTCATTACATAGATGAGACAATTTAAATCTAAAGCACACACCAAAAACAGATTTTTAAGCCAGGTGCTGGTGATGGCTCATGCTGTAATCCTAGTTACTTAGGAGGCTGAGATCTGAGGACTGTGGTTCAAAACCAGCCTAGCCAGGAAAGGCTTTGAGACTCTTATCTCCAATAATCCACTCAGAAAAATGGAAATGGTGCTATGGCTCAAGTGGTAAAGAGCTCTCCTTGAGCTGAAGAGCTGAGGGACAGTGCCCATGCTCAGAGTTCAAGCCCCATGACTGACAATAAAACAAAAAACAGCAAACAACAGATTTTTACTGGGCCCTACATACTCTTTTCTATCTATATTAAAAAAAAGATTATGTTAGCCAGATGCTGGTGGCTCATGCCTGTAATCCTAGCTACTCAGGAGGCTGAGATCTGAGGACTGCGATTCAAAGCCAGCCCATGTAGGAAAGTTTGTGAGACTCTTATCTCCAATTAACCACCAAAAAACCTGGAAATTGTTCCACGACCCAAGTGGTAGAGTGCTAGCCTTGAGCTAATGAGCTCAGGAATAGAGCCTAGGCCCAGAGTTCAAGCCCTGAAGTCTAAGTGTAACCATATGAATATAAAATGCAACCCTTAGATTTTTCTAATCAATCTTCATCTAGTAAAAATCTTAGGAGCATAAAAGAATGTAATTAACCCAACACAAAATTATATCTCTAGGTTTCACCAAAGGACTTTTGTGAAAAAATGTGGATCAATTACACCTACTTCTGGAACTACGAATGTGATGCGATTTCTGCCTATGTAGCTCTGTGCAACAAGTTCGACATCTGTATTGAATGGAGAACCCCTGATTATTGCCGTAAGGAACAATGAACTAAATAAAAATTTCCAGCCATTAAATGATATTCCGATCACATATGTTAGTAAACCATAAAATGCAGAGAAAAAACCACAAGTCAAAACCACAAGCTTTATGTCTCAACTTCAAAATTAGAGGATTCCCACAGAGCTCCTGTGTGCCATTCCCCTAGTCTTTTCTTCTTCCCTGGATGAATGAGATTCCAGAGCTGCAGGACTGCTTCATCCATCTGCTGGTCGCCATGTCCACTTTTGCTTAGCACTGTCCACCTCTCCTCTATGGAGACTGTGCCCATTTATACTCCATCAGCTGAGTTTCCCCTTTTTTTTCAACAACAGGTTTATCATTTTTTTTAAAGAGCAGTCAAAATCAACTCTGAAAAAATATGGGTCAATTACACCTACTTCTGGAACTACTAATGTGATGTGACTTTTGAAAATCATCATTTGGAAACTGCTCAGCAATAAGTTTCTTGTGACAGTGAAGGACTATTCGTAAACATGAATAGCCTTTTTCTTTTTTTTATTACTCGGTGGAGTCACATATTTTAAGTGTATTTCCATGACTATTACAAGTAGTTAGTTAATGCATCTCCTCAGATGCATTAAGAGCAGTAAGAACATTTATGGGAACCAGACTTGCACTGCCTGCCCATCAGTCATATTTATTTGATGTAAATCAAATAAACACTGATAAATCTACTAAGAATTGAACACCTGGAAGACACTCAAAAGTACCCATTGTTGGTTTTGTTTCTGATTTACATAGTAAGTACAAAAAATGGGGTTTGAAGAGACTTACATGTGAGAATTTCATTTGCTGAAAGAAAGCTGAACTCATTAGAATTCAAGTAAGGTATTCCTATATTAGCAATTTCTGTCCTCTCTTGCTCACAGCTTTGAATTGCCCAGAGGGGAAGGAATATCAACCTTGTGTGAGGCCTTGTGAAGCCAGAACGTGTCTCAATAAATGGTTCTATGGATATTCTTCATGTTTGGATTTAAGAGAAGACTGTGTGTGCAAAAATGGGACTGTTCTTCACCGCCCAGATAAAACTCAGTGCATTCCAGAGAGAGAGTGTGGTAAGAAGCAAAATAAAAAAAGATTTCCTAGGATCCAGAAAAGAAAGAAATGCAAATAGGTTTTAGAGTTGGAAAGACATACTGTGAAAATGAATCAGAGATCACCTAGTGTTGGAAAGGAAACGAGTTTGTCATTTGCTTTTAATATGATTCCAATTGAGGTAACCAATTAGGAGCTTCGTTGATGATGTGTCTTGATCTTTATTTATGTATGTATTTACTAAAAAAAAAAAGGGCAGGGCAAGTTAAGAAATGAAAATGTAGGCTGTGGGATGGATTCTAATTCCAGCTATTTCATGTATTTATGGCTCATTTTCATTTCTATGAGCCCAAACCTACACATGTCTAGAATGGAGAAATTAACAGTACTTTGTGCGGGGATATATGAAAAAAGTATGGAGTATTTGTACTTAATGTGTAGGGATATATATAAAAATGTATGGAGTATTTTAACTTAATATAGAGCCTTGAGAAAATTAGTACTCAAGCCGTGACAGGTAGTAGTAGCATATTTTTTACTTTCATTTTCAAACTATTTATTTTTGATACAGTATCTCCTTGTGTGGCCAATGAAAAACTACACAATTGTTTAAATTGCAACACAGTACTTACTCAGGCATCAACATGATCAGAAGAAAGGAAAATGTTTTAATGAAGAAAGGGAAGGACAAGTAAAAGTGAAATGCATAGAGAGCTTCGGACACAAGTTTGTGATTGCCAACAAAGGAACTATTGGTGGCTGGACATGATAGAGCATACCTGGTAATACCAGGTATTTGGGAAGCACAGTTCAGTAGGATCAGTTTGAGGCCAGAGCAGACAAATACTTAGTGAGACCCCATGACAACAATTAAGTCTGGTACATGGTGGTCCACATCTGTAATTTCAACTACACAGGAGACCAGCCTGATTAAAAATTGAGACCCTGCAAAAAAATAATAAATAAAGTAAAGCAAAAAGCTCAAGTGGTAGAGAACCTGTCTATCAAGCTGAAGGCTCTGAGTTCAAACCCCAGCAGCACCAATAAATTAATGTAAGAAAAATAGAATAAAAGAAAAGTGAATATCTGGGTGAGTTGTGCAGTACTTTATCTGTTGAACAATAATTTATATGGCCTATTAAGGCTTTGGTTTAAAAAAAAAAGTAATATTGTAGCTGATGAAAGAGAAGAGGATACTGAGAAAGGATAGATTTGTGGCAGGTTGTCTGTGGCTGGATCACGTCAAGGAGTGATTTGTTTTAGGGCCCTGGGTATGAATGATATAAACTTGTTGGTCTTTTCAAGTGTGCACAGATAGGGAAGATCAACCCCGAACTGCTGGGGAGATTTGGAATGGGGGCATTGATGAATGCGCTCTCTACAAGTGTTTGGAGAATGGAAGCATTGTTCCTGTGGAGCCTGACTGTGAGGAGGATCCCTCTCCCACTTGTGAACGAGAAGCTGAGGTTCTCATGGGCATCGTTGATAAGCTGACCTGTTGTTCTAAAGAGGTTTGCGGTAGGTATATACAGGTGAATTGAGCCTTGTCTTTCAGTGAATACCATGAAATCGGCTGATATTCTTTGCCTAAGACTGTTGTTTGGATTAAAAACCATGTCACTCTCTCTCAAGGCAAGTTATGTGTATAGACATGAAAAACTTGCAACTAAAAATACTCAGCAGTGTGTGAGAATCGAAGGATCTGGGAATCTGACTCAGAATGATCAGGCAAAAGATTATGCCAGATGACTTTAAGTGATCCCTTCTTACATATGGCCTGGGGGGAGGGCTGATTGGGTTTGATAGCTGGTTAAAATATGGCTAGTGGAAGCCATTTCCCTGCCCTGAGTTGACAGCACAGGTTTAAATTATGTTCACTAACAGTTTGATGTTAGGCTGCTTTATTTCTAGGATGTGACATGACTTTATGTGAAACCGCCATTCCAGCATGTACGGACAGTCAGAAATTGATTGTTGGTTTTAGCCATCTTTCCTGCTGCCCGCAGTACAAATGTGGTAAGGTACTCAATTAGGAAAATGTTGAAGGCTCATTGTTCACTGAAGACAGTAGTAGACTGAACTCTCTCTGTATCTCTACGGAAATTATTTATTATAATAGATTATAGAGTTGCCTTTCTATATATTTCCATTAGTATTAAGATGTCCAAAGCAATAGTAAATGCAAAGAAAAGTAAACAATGCTATTTATTTGCCTTTTATTTTTGCCAGTTCTGGGGCTTGAATTCAGGACTTAGATGCTGTTCCTCAGCTTTTGTTGCTCAAGGCTAGTGCTCTACCACTTGAGCCACACCTCCACTTCTTGCATTGTAGTAGTTAATTTGAAATAAGAGTCTCAAGGATTTTCCTTCCTTGGCTGGCTTTGAACCTTGATTGTCAGATCTCAACCTCCTGAGTCACTAGGATTACAGGTGTGAGCCAATGGTGTTTGGCTTCTTTCTTCTTTTTTTAAATTTAATTTTAATTAATTTTTAATTTAATTTTAATTTGCAGAGGGGTTACATTTACATAAGAAAGGTAGTGATTACATTTCTTGTCTAACTTGTTATCCCTTCCCTCATTTTTCTCCCTCTTCCCTTCCCCTTAATCCCTCCCCCCCAAGCTGTCCAGATCATTTCCAACATGTTGTCTTGTGAGTATTCCTGTTGCATAGGTTTCCCTTTTGTCCTTTGTCTCACCATTTTGTTGTTCCCCTTCCCTTCCCTAGTTCAGATACAATACCCAGGGTACCAAAATTGAATGCAATGACAACAAGGGATAAACCATAGGAGGAAAAAACACAAAAGAAAAAAAGACATCACAAAGTATTTGAGAACAACAACAACAAAGAAAAACCTCTTGCGTCCACATCTTGGATTTCATTTCGCTTAGCATCATCTTATATGGTCATATGTACATGGCTATTGAGCTATTCTGCTTATCTGCTAAGATTATCCTAGATGTATACTAACTATTGCCAATAGTCAGTCAGTGGGACCTATGTTTCTTTGGGTTTGGTTTACTTCACTTAATATGATTTTTTTCAAGTCTTTCCATTTCTTTACAAATGGGGGGGGTGCCATTCTTTCTAATGGAAGCATAGAATTCCATTATGTCTACACACCACACATACACACACACACACCACATTTTCTTGATCCATTCATCTACTGGTTTATCACAAATGTATCCATGTTTTCACAGAATGTGACCCAGTCAAATGTCCCATGATTCCAACACCAGAGTGCCATGTAGACCAGTTTATGATTCAAGTTCGACAAGGAGAGCCTTGCTGTTTTTACCCTTTCTGTGGTGAGTACTTTAGAGATACTTTCTAGGAAGAAGAGAGAGCATGGAGGAAAAGTCTCTTATTTGTTGGAATTTCTTGGGACTGATGGTAAGAAATATTATGATGTTATACTCATAGAAACTAGATTGAGTAAGAAGGCTAGAAAAGCAAGCACACACTTTTCAATATCTTGACAGCCAGTATTTTCCTCATCAAGAAAACTACATGGGGGCTAGGAAGGTGGCTCAGTGGTAGAGTGCTTGCCTTGCATGCATGAGGCCCTGGGTTCGATTCCTCAGCACCACATAAGCAGAAAAACCCAGTAGTGGCAATGTGACTCAAGTGGTAGAGTACTAGCCAATAGTGCCGAGGCCCAGAGTTCAGGCCCCATGACCTACCAAAAAAAAGAAAAGAAAGAAAGAAAGAAAAAAGAAAGATAGATAGGAAGAAAGAAAGAAAGAAAGCTACATGTATAGACCAAAAATAGTCAAATAACAAAATCAAATGGTTTTCTTTAATAAGGTAAATATCTAACATGTTTTGGAGGTACTGGGTTTAAACTCAGGATCTTTTGTTTTCTAGGCAGGTACTCTATCATTTAACCTATATTCCCATCTTTTTTTGCTTTAGTTATTTTTAGCATTGATTTTCACAAATGCCTGGCCTTTTACCATAATTTACCTCACATATACCTGGGATCGCAGGTCCATTTCACCATCTCCAGCTTATTTGTTGAAATGGTGCCTCATTAACATTGTGCCAAGATCCTCTTGATCTCTGCCTTCTGAGCAGATGCAATTACAGGCATAAGCCAATACACCTACTTAGGCTTCTAGCTTTACTTGAAGAAAAATATAGATTGGCTTTCTTTGAATAGCCAACCAGAATAGTGGGTCCTGCTAAGACATTATAGGACCTCTTTAAAAATCCTTCCTCTGGGGCTGGGAAGTTGGCTTAGTGGTAGAGTGCTTGCCTCACATGCATGGGTTCGATTCCTCAGCACCACATATGCAGAAACAGCCAGATGTGGCGCTGTGGCTCAAGTGGTAGGGTGCTAGCCTTGAGCTGAAGAGCTGAAGAACAGTGCTCATGCCCAGAGTTCAAGCCCCAGGACCGACAAAAAAAAATCCTTCCTCTTCTACGTATCATGTATAAGCTATGATGATAGCAAAAGAGAGAGATAGAAACAAATAACATTGGGAAATAACTAGAGCTAAGTATTTTGAAATACTGGAGATTGAAAAATAAGATATTCTCTCTTCTCCAATTCAAAATGAATTATTGTATCAAAGATTGGTGGCTAATGTAGATATCAGACACATGTGAAAATCAAAATACATTTCTTTGAATTGATGAGGGATTTTTTACTATATATTTTTATTGTAAAGCTACTGTACAGAGGGGTTACAGTTACATGAATAAGGTAATGAGTACATATCCTTTTGAGCATTGTTACTCCCTCCTTTGTTTTTCCCCTACCATCCCTTCCCTCCCCACCTACCCAACTCCTCCTTCTTCCCACCCTGAAGTTGTAAAGTTTGTTTTCAACATAGTGTCTGGATATCTCATTGTTACAATGGATGAACCTGTATCCTTGTTTCAGCATTTTGTTATTTCCCTTTCCCTCCCCAAATTAGAAAAAAAGTATATACAAGATTACAAGATGCAGGGCACAGGCATCAAATATAGTGAAAACAGGGGTTATACCATGGGGGAAGAACATACAAAAGAAATAAAAAACCCACATATTTCATTATAAGTACATTAAAAACAACAGTAACAAAGAGCTCCCCTTTGACTTGGCAATCCCATTTTTGGGCATTTATCCAAGTGATCACAAACAAGGCCATATTAAAGCTACCAGCACAACTGTTTATCACAGCATTATTCACCATAGCTAAGATATGGAACCAACCCAGATGCCCCTCAGTAGATGAATGGATCAAGAAAATGTGGTATATATATATATATATATATACATATATGTATATATATATGTATATATATATGTATATATATATGTATATATATATGTATATATATGTATACATATATATACATATATATATACATATATATATACATATATATATACATATATGTATATATATATATATATATATATATATATATATATAATGGAATTCTATGCCTCCCCCAGAAAGAATGATACCGCTCCATTTGTTAGGAAATGGAGACTTGGAAAAATTATATTAAGTGAAGTAAGCCAGGTCCAAAGAGACATAGGTCCCATGGTTTCCCTTATTTGCAATAACTAGTGTACTTCTAGGAAAATCTTACCAGACAAGTAGAAAAGGTCAAAAGCTAAGCACATATAACTGTATAAGATGATGCTAAGCGAAATGATTAGGGATTTTTGGCTGCAAGTGCCAAAAGCTGATTGATTTTGTCTGGATGAAATAAAAGTAACTCTTAGAAGGAAGTACATTGACTCCAGATGGGAAGAAGAGATGCCATAGCTTTCAGTTCAGCTGTGACTTGTGGCTTTGTGTTTTCCCTTTAGTGTGTGAGTCATGCATGGAACCTATTCCACTGTGTACTGATGGGGAATTTCTCACAGTGGATCTTAATACCACTCATTCCTGTTGTCCTCAGTACTACTGCGGTAAGTATATTTTAACAATTTAACAATCCTTTAAAATTTAGACATTCAGTTGGTCTGTGAATCTTAGTTGCAGTATTGTACTTATTTTCATGGCTCTTTGCTTGCCAAACTATCCTAGCTTAACTACTGCGGTTAGATCTGCTTGACAGTCATTTGGCCAGTCCTCATCAATTTATGGCTAATGAGAGATTAAATAAATAACACTTGGGAGGTGTGAGGCCATGCTATGCCTCAGTAATGTAGGAATCTAAGTGGTAAACTGGCCAATGCATGAAATTCATCTTTACCTATGTGATTTCTCTTTTCAGTTTGTGAGCCAGACCTTTGTCCTACACCATTACTTCACTGTGCAGAAGATATGAATCTAGTGAAGGAAAATGTATCTGGTCAGTGTTGTCCAATATGGCATTGTGGTAAGTATTTTCATATTTAAAAGTTTTATTATAATAAATTGATGTATTTTAATCAATGTAAGAATGTTAATTTTGTCTTTTAGAATGTAACTGTGAAAACCTCATTATGCCAACCTGTGAAGTGGTAAGAACACAGATTTACTTGTCATACTGTCCAAATCAGTTTATCTTTCTCTATCCTTTTTATTCTTTGGAGTTAGTAGAATTATCCTCATTAATTTTACTGAGGATGAGTAAAATAATGTACTCTGGTATTACAGGCAAGTGAACCCTTAATGTTTTACTTGAGATAGAAAAGTGCAATACATCGGTGTTTTTAACAGGTGAATTAATCTGATCTTTGATGCACTAAAGGTCACTGTTCTTAAAATGATGCAAGATGTATTATTTTAATATTGAAAGGAATCTCAATGCTTTCTTAAAATATTCTAATAATGCACAGGAAGAGAGACTACAAACGTGACTACTTGTACCTCCTTCAGAATTATCTATTAAAATATATACTTTATAAACATTTCTAAGAACTAGGATAAGTGATGCTACTCAAGCAGATATCCCATGATGCTTTACATTTCTTTTATTTTTCTGATATGCCCCTAAGGCTTGAAAATGTACACATTACTATTTATCAGAGAAGACATGTTGTTTTCTTTTTCTCATAAAAAGGTTTTATTTTTTCCTTTTCTTTTCCTTCTCATTGTATATTCTCAGAGAGCACATCTAGGTCCTGGAACTATTCTGGAGAAAATTAAGGCACGTTTTGCGATAACAAAGCCTCTCTTAGTATGCCACGGCTTTGTTTTGAAAAAAAGCATTAATTCCACCTTTGCTCTAAGGATAAGAGTTATCACTTCTGATTTACATAGAATACTTAAAGTTTACAATTATCTTTCACAAAAATGTTCTCATTTTATTTTGTGAATATACTAAACTATATACACATATACACAAGAGTAGAATTGTAATACCATATGCTTTAAATCCATATAGTTTATTTACCATGTTTACCATTTTTAGAATATTATTGCACTGAATCTTGAAAAACTGAATTTTTTTAGCTTATTGTATAAATAAGAAAGCTGAATTCCAAGAGAATTGAGATTGAAAGAGATTGTTAGGATTTGAAGGAGGTGGTGTGTGTGTGTGTGTGTGTGTGTGTGTGTGTGTGTGTGTGTGTGTGTGTGTGTGTGTGTTTTCTTTTTCTTTTCCCTTTCAAAATGTAGTCAACAAACAGTTTGAAGTAACAATGAAAGCCAATGTGAGGCTTCTGGCTTCTGTTTCTGTCCTAGCTTTGTCTCACTTTCCTCATCTATAACACAAAATTAAAAGTTGTATCTAATAATAAGAAATGAATGTGAATTACACATTTAATACTTGGCACATAGGCTTGAAGTCTTATCCTGAAGAGCTCAGTGCAGACTGAATATGATAGGAAATGGAAAGGGTCTTGTGGATTATGATGTGAACTATGATGACATCCTGCAATGTAGAAGAATATGGGCAGTAAATGTTAGAGGATAGGATATCCAATCCCAGTCTTAGCAGAGATTGGGAAAGCCATTTATGAGTGAAGACCTTGGGTAGAGTGAAGTGTTTGTAAGAGGAGGGATTAAACAGGGTGCTGGTGGCTCATACCTGTAATCCTAGCTACTCAGGAGGCTGAGGTCAGAGGATTGTGCTTAAACCAATCCCAGGCAGGAAAGTCTGGGATACTCTTATCTCCAGTGAGCCACCAGAAAACCAGAAGTGGTGCTGTGGCTCAAGTGGTAGAGCCCTAGCCTGAAGCATAGGAGCTTAAGGACAGCACCTTGAGTCCAGCTCTGAGCTCAAGCTCCAGGACTGATGGAAAATAAAAAAGAGAGGAGGGATTAAAATCAGGAAGGCAGAGAGTCTTTTGTATATGGCTCCTTTTCTTAAATTAAGGTTGTGAAGTTTCACCCATGTTACAGTACCTATCACTACCTCTTTTCATTGTTGAATACGATTCCATTGTATGGGTACATGTAGGCACTTGTCGAAATAAGCTTTGTAAATGGCCAAGTGACTTCAATCTCAATCCTCAGACCTTCATCCCTCAGGTAGCTTGGATTACAGATGTGATCCACCAGCACCAAGCTATAGCTAAGCTTTTTCTTTGCATACATTGGTCTCTATATTTCTCTCAACAATCTTAAGTAGCAAGCAATGTTACCAAAAACATTTTATGAATGAGGGTGGCATCATGGAGATTAGTTAAGTAGTTGAGCCAGGAGTGGAGAAATGTAGTCCCATTCTCTTGTTCTCCATCTGTGCAATTTACCATGTCCTAGACAAGTCTGCTCCTGCTGTAATGGCCCCAGGAGCCTTGCTGATATCAAGGCACAGGACCACTTCTAGGGAACAGATCAAGAACATTTGCAGTAAACTAAGTTTCCAGGAATGACAGCAGTTTTTTTTTTTAAATTGTCAATTGTTCTCCCACTACTCCTCTCTCCCTATCCCTCTCTTACTCTCTCTTTTCCTTTTTTTAGTCTCTTCTTCCTCCTCCTCCTTTCTCTCTCCCTTTTTTCCCTTCCCCTCTCTCATTTTGCTATGTAGCACAGACCAGCCTTGTACTCACAATCTTTCTGTCTTGGACTCCATAGTATTGGGATTATAGGCATGAAACACCTCAGCCAGCTCATCTCTAATTTCACAAATAAAGATATTAAAGTTTAAAGAAATTGGTTGACCTGTGATCACATTTTTTATGGTGATGTTTCCCCTGTCATGTGAATGAATAGTTAATCCAAGATTTTTCATAATATGTTTGTCAAACAGTAGCTATTTTTCTAGACGTTTGGTAGGGAACTTACTTGATATTATAATTTATCTCTTTAAATTGTCTTAAGCTATCTGATAAGTCATTCAATAATGATTTCTTTCTAATAGGGAGAATTTGCCACAATAGACCATACCTTTCAGAGTGACTGTGGATGTGTACAGTATCTCTGTGGTAACTATTTTTTCAAACTTTTAAGTGGCGAATATTATTTATATCTGTTATCTACTATTAATAAATGTAAAATGATATTCTTTGACAGATTTGTTATACATATTAAGCCAAACACCAGTAGTTGTGTAAAATGATGAGAAATTTGATACTAGGACAGAAAAATGAATTTGTCTCCAGAGATTTCACAAATATTTTGTTAAATAAATTTGTCCTCAGAGATTTCACAGGTTTTTTTGGTTAAATCTATATAATTTTTAAAGTTAGTATCTAAAAGGAAGCGGTTGTTTGTGCCCATTTTTTTATATTCTCGATGCTAACATTGCAAAATAGAAAGCTGATTTTCCTATGAAATAATGCTTCTTCATGTTAAGTGTTAGTATGGCAGTAGAAAGTATAACTTTCTTTTAGTGGCTTAAACCTTTGTGTTTTTTTCACGAGCAAAGGTTGAAATCCAGAATTACAGAGGTAAGAACTTCAGCCATGAAGTTTATCACACCCCCCAGTCTATCCCAATATTTTAATACTTTAATACCCAATATTTTAATACTTTAATACTTCTTCTTTAGAGGAGAGTGGTACATTAAATCAGTTGTCCCTTCATAAAAGATGATTTATGTCACTTTATTTTGCAACACTAAAACTGGAATCAATTCTCTCAAAATGATTGTGAAAAATCATGGCCAGGAGCCAGTGGCTCACGCTTGTAATTCTAGCTATTCAAGAGGCTGAGATCTGAGGATCACAGTTCAAAGCTAGCCTGGACAGAAAAGTCTGTGAGACTCTTATCTCCAATGAACTACTAGAAAACCGGAAGTGGTGCTGTGGCTCAAGCGATAGAGCTCTCGCCTTGAGCTCCAGGCCCAGAGTTCAAGCCCCATGACCAACCAAAAAACAAACAAACATAAACTGTTATATCATAAAGAGGCCTACTAAAATTTCATTAGATGTTAGACTTTGCCTCTGTCCACATCCCCCTTCCCCACTGTGCAGTGATCATTTTATTTGTCCTGAAGAACAGGCAGCACATACTTTGCTCATCCTGAGATCTCATATTCCTTGAAGCTGTTATAAAATAAAGATTTCACAGGAAGTCGAAAATATTTTTTGTACCACTACTGGGACTGAACTAAGAGACTGGGTGCTCTTCCTTAGCTTTTTCACTCAAGGTTGGCACTACCCTTTCAGCCATAACTCCACTTCTGGCTCTTTGATGGTTAATTAAAGACAAGAGACTTATAATCTTTTCTACCGAGATCTCAGCTTCCCAAGTAGCTAGGATTACAGGTATTAGCCACTGGCACCTATGTAAAACAACTTATTTTACAGATCTGTTTTTGATTGTATGTTAAGAGACAAATTATTTTCATTGTTAAAAAAATCCTTGGGTTATTAGCAATATCTAAAGATAAAGGTCTTTCTTGATTTTGAAAAGTTGACACATCATAATGATAAAATGGTATTAAATTTACAAGTTTCACTGATTAATATAACACTCAACGTTTTATTTTCTTGATGAGTATTGTTTCCTGTTTTTCAGAAAAAGATGATGTGTGTGTATTTCAACAAGTAGCAGTACTGAACCCTGGGCAATCTATGATAAAGTATTTGGAAGGGGACTTTTGCTATACAATAGAGTGTCAGGAAGAAAAAGACAACCTGACAGGCTTTCTCACATTGAACATCACAATGGTGAACTGTTCAAAAGAATGTGATGTTGTAAGTATTCTTGTAACTTGTTCTGGTGAGGGTGAATAAATCTAGAGTTGGCAGCTATAGAATTTCAAGTAGTTCCATATCTTAGCTATGGTAAATAATGCTGGAACCAACCCAGATGCCCCTCAGTAGATGAATGGATCAAGAAAATGTGGTATATATACACAATGGAATTCTATGCCTCCATCAGAAAGAATGACATTGCCCCATTTTTTAGGAAATGGAAAGACTTGGAAAAAATCATATGAAGTGAAGTAAGGCAGGCCCAAAGAAACATAGGTCCCATGGTTTCCCTTATTTGCAATAAGGGAAATAATTTGTCTGGGACAAACAGAAAAGGTCAGATAAGTTGATATTAAGTGAAATGAACCCCAAGATAAGTATTCAAATGTTTTTGCTTTCATGCAATTGTTTCTAACATATATATAAGATGATTTCTTTGTTGCTTTGTATGTCCCTCCCCCACGGTATAACCCCTGCTTTTACTGTATTTGATGTTGGTATAATTTGTGGAGGGGAAGGGAAAAAACAAATTGTTTAAATAGGGATACAGGTGGATCCATTGCAACAATGAGATGTACAAGTCGTTATGTAGAAAAACGAACTTTACAACTTTGGCCAGGGGTGTGTGTGGTAGGGGGAGGGGGATAGAGACAGGAAGGGATAGGAAGGGGAAACAAAGGAGGAGGCAACAATGCTTGATAAAAAAAATGCACTCATTATCTTGCCCATGTAATTGTAACCCCTCTATACGGTATTTTCACAATTAAAAAAAAAGAATTTCAACTAGTGAATAAACCATGAGTTTAACTTATAAAGGTGAATAGTTCTTCAGCAGTCTGTTATTTTTAAGGCATTTATTTAATGTGCATCTCCATTTTGCTGTCTGATATTATCTACTGCTTGGTACCTCGCTTGACTTCAGGCTGTTACACTTGTTTGATAAACTTGGCTGTTAGTGGCTAATAAAGCTTAATGTTAATGTCACTTCTAATCTGGCTATCTAATGTCAATTCTTATTTGAAGCTCCTAGCAGTGAGAATGCTTTAGCTGTTCAGTCAGAGTATGTTTTTATACTCGGAAGCATCTTCAGAGCTAACTCATTAAAACTTCTATTGTCATATGCCTAATTCAATGCACTGTTGTTATATGCAGAACCAGATATACATTCCCTCCCCAAGTGATTATGATTGCTGTGGAGCCTGCAGAAATGTTTCTTGCAAATTTTACATGGAAAATGGGACATCAGTTATATATGAGGTATGAATTCTTTATTTCCTAAAACTATGTTCCTTGGAGGCTAGCTCTGTAGTATATTCTGAAGATGGAAAATGTAACTCTTTTATACCTTAATCAAACACAATACACTTAAACACACAAACAAATTTGCTCTATTTCTGGTGTAAAAACATGCTTAGATTGCTTTTTATAATTAATCTAAGCTTGAGTCATCACAATTCCCTTCCCCCAGATATGGGAAATGTAGATTCCTAAACATTACAAGAAAAAAAATAATACTGGTACAGAATTTGTTATTTCAGATAAATTAGATATGATTATGCTTCCTGAATTCGAATGTTTTTTTCTTTTACACTTGGTCATGTTTTCTGTTGAGGCTCTTGGAAGACCTGAAGCAACTCATAAATTGAGATACCAACTAGAGAAAAGAAATCATCAGGGTTGTCAATTTTTTTTTTTACTGTTCTTCAAGGAAAGTCAGTCAGTCAGTCAGTCTGTCTGTCTGTCTGTCTGTCTGTCTTTCTGTCTGTCTGTCTGTCTGTCCGGTTCTGGTCCCAAGCTTGAGCTCAGGGCCGGGGTATTTTCCCTAAGTTATTTTATTTTTTAATTTAATTTAATTGTCAAGGTGATATACAGAGGGTTACAGTTACATAGATAAGGTAGTAAGTCCATTTCTTGTCAAACATTGTTACCCCTCCCTCATTTTTCTAACTTTCTCTTCCCCCAAAAGTCCACCTCAAGTTGTAAAGTTCGTTTCCAACATATTGTAAGTATCACTGTTACTTTGTCCTTTGTCCTCTATCTCACCATTTTGTTGTTCCCCTTCCCTTCCCTAATTCAGGTAAATGTATTTACAACACACAGGGTTTTTTTCCTGAGGCTAGTGCTCTATCACTTGAGCCATAGCTCGCTCCACTTTTGACTCATTGCTGGTTAACAGAATGATAACTTTCTCGTCTGGGTTGGCTTTGAACTATGATCTTCAGATCCCAGCCTCCAGAGTAACTAGGATGATAGGTATGAGTCACGAGAGCCCATTTCCAAGGAACTTTTAAGATAGAATTTGATTTTAAAATGTAGGCTGTAAAATAAAAATGTAGATGAACAGTTCTGTTTAACACACAAATTATGCAATAGCTATTTAAGCTAACTATTTCTAAATGGATATTCTAAAATTAAAAATTTGTTATATGTAAACATTTTTAAAGTGACAAGTTTTAAAATTAATCATAAGTTAAACAATATTAGAACCACAAGACAATGAACACTATGATCCAAATTTTTTGCAAGTTTTAAGGTAAGGGAGTAGAAGGAAGAAAAGCAAATCTCCAGGAAGGAAGTGTGTAATTTATTTGATTTGTTGCTTTATACTTACTGAGGAGCTATTAGAATAAGACCTTTGACATTTAGCCAAATTAGATCATTTCTTTTGAAGTTGAAACAGATTTCTGTTTGCTCTTCTTTATTGCTTAATTTCACATTTATGTTTCAGTTCCATTATAAAACCAAACCTATAAATACATGTATTACTAATATATGTATTTTCACTCATTTTAGATAAATTTGGGACCACTTTAAAGTGGAACATGAAGTGCTCAGAATGTTAATTCTGTTTAAATTAAGTAGGATAGGAAATATTCTAGGTAAAAAAAATACCATAGACGTTAAAATGAAAAGAAAGAGATGTGAGGATTACAGTTTGATGTCAGCCAGTTCAGGAAAGTCTATGAGACTCTTCTTTTCAATTAATCACCAAAAGGATGGAAGAGGGGTTGTGCTTCAAGTGCTAGTCTTGAGCAAAATAAGCTTAAGGAAAATGTACAGGCCCTGAGTTCAAGCCCTAGTACTAGCACACGCATGCACACGCACACACACACATACATACACACATACACACATACATACACACATACACATATATACACAAGAAAGTCACATTATGTTTTATTTTCAGGTGGGGAGCAGGTGGAACTACAATTGCACCACGTATGAGTGTGTGAAAACAAATGAAGGAGCAATGATTCTGAACTACAGTATGGTCTGTCCCCCTTTCAATGAGACTGAATGCAAAATGGTTTGTACATCCCTATGCCAAAGAAAATCTTGTATCCATTATAATTTAGAAGATACAGAGTAATTTGCTTCCCAATTATTTCTGTACTTACATTGTGGCTTTTAAAAATTATGATAAATGTCTTCTATTCTTGCATAAATGAAAGCTGTTAGATTCCCTTAGTTTGATATTTTGAGTTCTGTATTGCTATCCGAGTTTGACTTTCTCTGAGTGCGCACTCTGACATTTCTAGGATTTTATATGTAAATCTTAAACTACTTTAAAATCAAACTATGCTATTATTGTTGAGGGATGGGACAGAGAATTGAATTCACGGACTTGGGTGTCCTTAGCTTGCTTGCTCAAGTGGAGGTCTACCACGTGAGGCCTCCTGTCTTGCTTTTTGCTGGTTATTTTGGAGATGGAGTATAGTAAGCTTTCCTGCCCAGACTGATCTTGAATCTTAATTCTCTAGGTCTCAGTCTCCAGAGTAGTTAGTATTACTGGTGTGAGCCACTGACACCCAGATTAATATAGATTAATCAACAAATAAATTAACTTTAATTAATTTTTAAATAGGCAAACAGCCAGATTCATTATATTGTTCACATTTTGTTCAGCAACTTCAATACAAAAGACAAATTCTGTAATACTGACCTACATCCTGGCCTTATGTTATTTACTTTTGAATTTACATTAGATTCCGTAAGTGTGGCTACTGGGGATCTTAGTATATCATTGCTAACCATTTAGTTCTTCTTTACCAATTCTCTATATATCTCAAAATGAATTTATTGGAAAAGTGATAATTCTTTTAAATATTTATGGTAGCTTTAATTACATTGACAATGATAATCCTTAATGAAAACTGAGAGAAATAGTATACTCTCACTAATTTCTTCCCCCTAAGATATATCTTTTTAAGTGATGATAGTTAGCTAGCCACTTATAATGTGTTAAAAATCACACAATTAAAGGTCTGGAAAGAAAATTAGAAATCATACTGTTTCAGAGACTGATCTTTATAGAATAAATTAATTGTATTTGAGTTGGAATTGGCAATTACTGTAAGCATTCCAAAAGGTAATTAAGAGAGGCATCGGTGGTGGCTTACACCTGTTAACCCTAGCTATTCAGGAGATTGAGATCTGAGGATCAAGGTTCAAAATCAGTTTGGGCAGAAATGTCTGTGAGACTCTACCTCCAATAAACCAATAAAAATTCCAGAGTGGAAGTATGGCACAGCATGGGCATTCACAAAAAAAGCTAATCAATAGTTTTTTTAAATTTGCTTTTAAAGCCCGAGTTTTTTGAACAATAAAATACTAATGAATAAGATATGCTCTTTGAACATTTAATTATATTCAGAAATTTCATCAACTCTAATAGAATATGTTAGATTATTTTGAGGGTGTAACTGTTATTTTGTTTCAGTAAGAAGTATTTTGTAGAATTTAAAGATGTTTCTTAAAATAACATTGGCCTGTGAACTTTTATATGTTTTTAATTTTAAAAGGACACAATTTAAAATAACAACTTCCTAAGAAAATTTCATGGATATAGTGATACACCAGTCATTTATCTATATTTCTTACAAACATAGGGAAAGTTAGTTTTGATTTCCAGTCTAGGAGGACATCAGTGAACACTGTATTGTTTTATTTTATTCTTTTTCTCTTTCCTAGAATGAAGGGGTTGTAAAGCTTTATAATGAAGGCTGTTGCAAGATCTGTAAGTGAGGCTTATTATGTGCAATGATAGATTACTTTTAATTGCTCATGCTGATTATGTTTTTTTAAAGATTCAGCTCCTGTGATATAAAGAGAAACACATTGATGAAGTATAAATTTAAATGCTTACATGTTGTGTGATTAAAAACCTTATAATTCAGTCTCTTTTGTAGTGTACACAAAATATTTTCAAATGAAATGAATTGTGATTTCATTATTGGGAATTTGTTGTTGTGGCATTTGCTAGAAAACATTGCCTAAGATTTTAATAGGTTTTACATTTTCAAGGGCTCTGTGATCTAATTTGCTTGGACCAGGTGTAACTATGAAAGCTATGTAGTTTATTACAAGAATGGTATTGATATTCTAATAAGGATGTAGAAAGCACAGAACTCTTTAGGTTTTTTTGAACAAGTCTATGAATCTGTACTTTGGGGAAATGCTAGCATAATTGACTGTATTTTAATCTTATATGTTAAAGTTCCTGTGATAGTTTTTATAATTAAATTTATATACATGTAACATATTTTATATGTGTTTGAATTTCAAGCCTAATTTTATAGTAGTTTAAAAATTAAGTTCTGAAATAGAGTAGAGGCCTATTCATGCAATGGCTTTTTTTTCTTTTTTGAAAAGTAGGAATTTTTGTCAATAGCATACAGGAATTTTTTGGATAATTGGCATAGTAAAAATAATTTAGAGAAAATAATTTAGAGAGGCTTTTGGGGGAAAGGACACACATAGTTGAGGTTAGTAATAACATAGTACTAGATGCTTAGATACAAATTGCCATGCTTCTCTAATTAGATTTCTGAACTTTATGGAGGGTGAATCACATAAATATGTCAGAGTGGTAATCTAGAGCTACACAATACTATTGAATAGATATTTAGAGGTATTAAAATAATTATGGAATGTAATTATATACCCTTGAGCATGTTACTAAATCAAGAACTTAAGTCTTTTATACAATATTTGGGAGGAATGAGTAATCTTGTCAAGGAAATTAATTTCATGCAATCTCATGTATACAATGCTGCTTCAATCAGTATAGGTGAACCTCTAATTTATTTACATGTTGAGGTTTCATATATAAACATTAATTAAAATAGAATTTATTGATGAAACTCATTTGAAAACTGGCGATGTAATTCTACAATTCTGAACAAAAGTATTCTCAATAGAATGACTTAATGACTTTCCTAAAGGGAAAAAAGGCCAGTTAGTAATAGAGTAAGGTAACAATTTTGGTCTTGTGCATCCCGATTCTGGAATTGCATCTACTGTCATCTACTATTAAAAATGCATTTTGGAGTACACTATCAAGTAGTAATCTCTCATACACATTGGGATTGGGATTAGAATTGTAATCATTAAAAATCATTAGACCAAGAATGACCCATCCATACTTTTAATATGATTTTTAAAGTGTTCTATTTTTATATTATTTTATATTAATTTGTACTATGATAATATATTTTGTCTCTAAATATTTATTTAAAATCTATGTATGTATATACTCAATTACATATTATTATGTATTTAGCTGTTTATTCAACAAATTATTTTATAGCCACATATATACCACATATAGGTTGATATTATCATTACCACATATGTGGAATACGTTTTTATTTGTACTGATAATTATTCTAAGATGAAAATGGAAATATGTAAGTATGAACTTAGAAAGTATAAGGTAATTTATTTAGAAGACAAAAATAAATATTACACAAAATAGATAACAGTGAAGTTTAATAACTTTTTGACACTGGAATATGTTACATATAAATATATCAATTTTCACATTTAAATATAGTCACAGTTTAAATTGAGAAAGGCATTTTCATGAGCTTTTGCATGGATAAATAGCTTTTGTATTTTATCAGGCAAGAGAGAAGAAAGAATATGCCAGAAAGTGATTATTAAGTCAATCATAAGGAGACAAGACTGTGTGAGCCAAAGCTCTGTAAGTGGAAAAATATCATTTGTTATATAAAGAGCACATATCTTTCCAGAAGTACATACGTCATGAGCACAAAGCACTGACTAACTCATATGCCAACAAAATGCCAACATATAATACTTAACTTTGAGAGTGTTCCTACATCCTATTATTAAAGTATTCTGTCTGTGAAGAGTTATGAGTTATTCTTAGCATAAATAAGCAACTGTTCTCAATGATAATTGCAATACAGGAAAATAGAAATGTAATCTAAAAATTTTTGACTATGTTTTTCCTTTTAACTATATTAATTTTATTCACGTAACATAATCCTTGCTATGCTCTTGTCTCCTTTAATACAATCTGTTTAATTCTATTCTCTGTACCCCATGCTATAACATGGGGTCAACAGAGTAATTAGAGAGGAGAGTTTATTCCATATACTGTCTTAGTTATTCTTTTACATTTCATGCTTTGAATTATATTAACATCACCAATAATATGACTTTGATGTTTATTTGAGTTATGTTGTAATGTAGTATTTTCTAAATCTTCTAACATATAGAAGAGTGAGGATTGAAGACAAAAGCCTCACTTTCATTGACTCCTTAGTGGAATCAAATTATAACCATTTAGTGCTTCCATTATTTGAAGATTTTTTTCCACATTATCTCTCCTTACAGATTAATGTTGCCTCTTGTGATGGGAAATGCCCATCAGCTACTATATATAATGTCAATGTTGAAAGCCACTTACGATTCTGCAAGTGTTGTCGTGAAAATGGAATACGAAACTTGACTGTGCCTTTGCATTGCTCAGGAAATGGCACTGAAATTATGTATACACTCCAAGAGCCTATTGACTGCACATGCCAGTGGAACTAAACTCTTGGATTCCAAGAACACCAAGAGAAACCTTCTCCTCAACAAATTACAACACTATAATATCAAGTTGAGTCAATTTTTATCATTATTCTTTAGGCATTTGGAAGACTTCAACTGCTTAATAAGTGCATTTTTAAGACTATTGGGATATGAAAAATTAGTACACAACTTCAATGGAATCAAATAATTTTGAGTTTGTTTGGTTGAAAAGCTGTTATGTCTATAATTGCAACATGGCACAAACCTGGAATATCCCTAGCAGGTAGAAGGCTTTGGTGTAGACATCCTTCTCAATTTCACTCACCAGTATTTTTAGTTTTAGTTTGCAAAGTCTTCCCTAGCTGTACTTTTAATCTTTTACTGCTTAATCTGATTAATGTCATCAGTTAAAATGATAGCCACAAAGAGTTTTATGTTGAGAGTCAGAAATTACAACTCTAGGATTTTAGATTATTTAAAAATCAAATGAATATTAGAGATGTTATTACAAATTGTTCTTATTTTGCGGGTGTAATGCAACTTATAAAAATTAATTCTGTGTGACAATATGATGAATTTATGTTGACAGCCTGATTAAACTCTAGGTTTTTCTTTCCTACCCCCTGTTCTTTTATCTTGAGTATTAGCATAAGATGACTATCACATAATCTTTAAGTTTGCATTGGATTGAATTTAAAAAATCAAGTTCAATATGCTTTTGAAAATCACACACACATATACTATTGTTTCAACAGTAAGGAGCAAGGAAAAGTGATATCAGTTGCTAAACAGGAGGCTCTTGGGCTTTTTAAGTCATTAAACTGCTATTAAATGTGTTAATATTATTTAATAGGTATTTGCTGTCTCATTGACATATGATTTTTAAGATTTATTTGTGTACTATCAAAGCTGAATGTCGTTGTGCTGATAATGCTGCTGCATTGTCAATAGTGAAATAAAATTATCCGAATATATCAATAATTTTACAATAGGATGCTACACATTGAAAGTACACTATTGACATTTGAAAACAATGTGTCCTTATATCTTTTCAAATTGCAATTACTTTCTTCTTAGAATATATATGTACCTGTATTTCTTCCTCAGTAAATACAAAATGTCTTGTACCAAAGGAAGTCCATCATGAATAAGAAAAGGATAAAATTGCATTGAAAAAGCAACTGTTTGGGGCCTAATGAGCTGGCTCAGTCTTGAGTTAGGTAACTTTCTTTCAGATATTAATGTTTTCTTTTAAAATCATGTATCCTAGAAGCATAGAAAATATAGTTAATATTTGTATCTTTGAGATAAAATAGAAATGAATGAAAGAATAAACATTGCACCTGTAAGTTCCAGTGTCTACTGTATATGAAAAGTGATGCATTTTGTGTTTAATCTGTTTCCTTTAGATGTAAACATTTCAATATCTTTGATTATTATTAACATATACACTGAATATTTTGTTTAAAATATTGACATTTTGCTAAAGGGAAAAAGATATGTAGCTTAGAAGTATGTAATGTTGTATATTGTCTATCATTTATTTTTATTTCCACTCTGTGAACAATTTGTTATGAAATTAAAAGTATAACATAATCTTAAACCTATTTATGAGAAAAAAGGAAACATTTTTCCTAGAACCAAGAAATACCCACCAAAATAACAAATTCCTGCTGTGTTTGGGATCTCCAGATGGAAATGGAGATCCCAAAACTTATTGGAATCTAGTATGAGAGAAGGATAGCTCTCATATCAGCAGAAATGTGTAAATAGACTACAAATGTATGGTGTGGGACAACCAGATAGTCATTTGGACAGATATTTGGATTTATCCACTCATTTATAAGTAGGAAAAACAGTACATCAATATGAAATGAACAAGATATGATGTCCAAAAGAAAACAGGGAAGAAACTTATTATTATCTTAAGGTAATTCCAACTCAATAGGTAGAAGTCCAACTGAAAAGATTGATACATTTATCAAAGCTACTGCAAAAAAGCAATTTGCCATGGCAAAAATTCAAACAAACTATAGAACCAAAGATTCAGTATTTACAATGTCACTGACAAAGACTCCTGAAAAGTAAGTAATTGACAAAAAATGGGCCAAATCTTTACTATTCAAAGAAAAATACTACTGGGCTGGGAAGGTGGCTCAGTGGTAGAGTGCTTGTCTTGCATGCTTGAGACCCTTGGTTTGATTCCTCAGCACCACATAAGCAAAAAGAAAAAAGCCAGAAGTGGCGCTGTGGCTCAAGTGGTAGAGCACTAACCTTGAGCTGAAGAGCTGAGGGATAGCACCCAGGCCCATGATGGACCCCCCCCCCCCAAAAAAAAAGAAAGAAAGAAAAATACTACTAGTGAACTGAGCAAGTGCTACCCATTTATTCTGCACTGAAATATAACTAACTTCTGTCCTGTCAGACTGGTAAAAATTAATTGCTTCTATTTTCTAAGGCAAATGTTTGGAAGATGATAATTCTGGTAAAGTATTGAAAGACCAAAATTAAAAGAATAAACTTGTATATATAAGCTATACACAAAAATTCTACTCATTCTCTAGGATTATTTAGAACAATATATACAAAGAGCAAGCGTTGTAACACTGTGTAGAAGACATAAATTAATCAAAGGAGATTGCATTGTGAGTCATATTAAAAGACAGTAATGTTTGTATTTAAAAAGGAAGTACCACTTTAAAAATGTTTCCAAATTTAAAATTTCTTCTCTTTCCTAACAGTTAGATATATTGAAAGGGATGTTGTTTATTTCTATCACTGTCAAATTACCATATTTGGTAGCTTAATTTTATCTACAATAGAATACGTTTTATGCTTATGTGGCATGCATGGTTGAAATAGATGTTTGTTCCTTTTCTTTACATTTTTAACTCTATTTTCATTAGAGAGCTACATATTCTAACAATATATAGTATTTTCTTTTCACTCTAAGCTTTTTAACTCACTTTAATTTGGAACATTGAATTTCTGAGAATCAAATGCCCATATTATTGTTTTTAAAGGTCCATAGCTTTGAAAGGATCTCAGAGAAAGCAGCCCAATATACAATGAGGGCAATATTTAACAAAATGTGTGAGGGTTCTTCAGTGTTAGAATAGTGTATTGAAATCAGCATTTAGAAGATAATGCGCTGGGAACTGGTGGCTCACGCCTTTAATCCTAGCTACTCAGGAGGCTGAGATCTGAGGATCACAGTTCAAAGCCAGCCTGGGCAGGAAAGTCCGTGAGACTCTTACTCCAATAAACCACTCAGAAAACCGGGAGTGGCACTGTGGCTCAAGTGGTAGAGCACTAGCCTTGAGCTGAAGAGCTGAGAGACAGTGCCCAAGCCCAGAGTTCAAACCCCACAACCAACCAAAAAAAAAAAAAAAAAAAAAAAGATGATGCATTGGCCTTAATACATTGGCTATAAAAGTTTTCAAGTATTCAATGAAGTAATATCTACATACTTATAGTTGCAATTATATTCCTTTTCCTTCTTGTTCTAGCAATAACTAGTCTACATTATTTAATCACTGAGTAAGGAAATTCCATATCACGTCAATGGAAAAGAGAGCAAGATTTTGGATCCAGATAGACTTAAATTCAAATCTCAATGATGCTAATGCATAATCAACTCAAGGTATTATTACTTAATAATTTACGCAATGAGACATGAGTGTCACTTCAAGAAATATCCATTAAAGTGTGTTAGATGTATTTCCCACTCTCAGACTTTTGAGCAGGCAGGAAAAGAGTGAAATATTACCAGGATTCAAATGCATTAATCTCTGCTAGTTTTTTTCTTCTCACCCCCCGCCCCGCTTTTTTTTTTTTTTGTACAGCCACGTAGTCAATTTCGGTTTCTTGTTCAGGAGTTGGTACTTTCCCACGCCAGTTCTCTTCATTGACCTTCCTTTCCTCCCTTCTCCTATGTGGAAAGCCATTCTCCACACATCAGCGATTCTGGACTCTCCCACTCCTCTTCCTTCCTTTGCTTCCCCATTTCCATGGAGACCTTTCACTTAATTAACCAACCCAGGGAGAGGACATAGCCGGCCAGAATGAAACCCACTGGAGCGGCAGTGTGGGAAGAGCTTAGAGCAGAGAACGAAGAAGGAAGAAGAAGAAACTGATGGCAAGGTGGGCTGTGACCAGGGGCCTTGGGATGAAGGACTCGGCTGCTTCCCTGGTCATCTCTGAACTTTCGGGCTGCGTCTGGGTGAGGTTAGGACAGAGTGCCGGGCACCTGCAGGAGGTTCAGGTGTGCGTGGCTCAGGCTTCGGTTTCATTCCAGGTTTCTGTTCTTTTGTCCTTTGGTCCATCAGTCTCATGAAAAGCGGTGATTTACTTTATACTCCCGTCTTAGTTGGCTGTGTTGAATGATTTTCTAAAACCTTGTACCTCAGGACAGCAGCCCTGTCTTTTTCCACCTTGGGTGCAAACGTGACACAGAATTGAGTTGCAGCAGGGGTTTGTACTTGAAGAACAGCAGCCAGGAGCAATCTTTCCACTTGTAACATCAAGCTTTTGAGATGCCACATTACTCTTTGATTTGTGGAGAGGAGCAGGATTAGTACTATGACACTGGGATAGAATACTTACACCCAATTGCTTGAACAAATGAACAAGGCTAAAGTCGGTGTGGTTTTGTGGATTGCACGATTGGATATTTCTTTTTAATCGAGTTGTATTTTATCTGAGGTGAACACCTGCTTAAATAAGAACTAAAGAGGATTTTGTAAGGAAAAACTAGCCTTATAGAGATTAGAATGAATCCTGGAAACCCATTTGTTACTAAAATGGAATTTCCCATTTTTAGAAAATACCTGTGAAGTGCTGGGATGTTCACTTTTTCTTTGAAGTGGGACATGCAAGTCTGGATTATCTATACTCTTAAAGAATGCTGCAAAAGCATTTTAGATCATGTATTTCAAAATGAAGTTAGAGCAACTCTTGAATGTTTTACTATTTAAATTTCAATCTTATGAACATTTGTGAAATATTTTTCCTAATGAAGGTTTAGTTTAACATGTGAGGAATTACTTCCAAGAAGATATGTGTAGGTGTTCCAAATTTCTACCAATTAAGGTTAAATAGTTTTACATAATGTGATACCACTGTGTGTAATTACCTGCTAATTCATTTTATTTTTAACACTTTATACGCAATTAAAGCAGTTTTTAGAAGCAAATTGTCTTCTTATATGCTAGAAGGTACTGACATTTCCAGTTTTATTTAGTGAATGGTCTGCAGCAGATAGTAAATTCTTTAATGTGCATTAATGTAGGATGAACAGCCTAAATATATTGAAGTGATATGTGCACACACATACATGACATAAAGCATGTCTGATAGTTTAGTTTTGAAGCTTAAATTGTGCATTTACTTGAAATGAATACATTTTACTTTCCAGATGGAGAAATCAATTAGTCTTCTACTCTGGTTACAATATGTGGTTAAGGTAAGATGTTTTCCATTTTAGAATAATTAGTGAGCATAATACAATTGCTTTGATTCTATTATTTTGGAAAATGGAGTATTGTGGAGAAATAACTTTATCAAGTTAAGTACATGAGAACATTTTTTTCTTCTTTAGGCTTTGCATTTTT